CTTGCGTAACCTGCGGTATGCCCAGTTGTGTGCATTCATGGCCCGACACACGTAACTTCACGTGCAATTTTGGAAAGCTTTATATACACCCTGCTTTCCCGAACTTACAACTTGTGCAGTGCTAAGGTGGGGAAGGGGGTTTTACTTGGCCGATGAGGTTCGCATGAGGCCTTGGTAGGAATTTTTCAGAACGCGATAAAAACTCTCCGGTTGTTCACTAATCCTAATTTTTCCCTTTCATGTGCACTATTTAGTTGAATCGAGAAAATCGGTAAGCAGATGAGACGTACCTTCGCATGATAGAAGAACTATTTCGCAAGCAAGGTGGATGATACGATTCCGAAGACGATGTGGACGCTGGAGTACTTTCAAACGACGGTGGTATATCGTCCCTGAAAGCAACATTAGCTGAGGATCATTGAAGAAGGAAAAACTTCACTGTCAAAGTACCTTTGCGATGAACGCGACCCTGTAGGCGGCAGCCCGTTTAGGCCACATATCTCATCGGCACGCCTTTCACCTTCCTCGATTACTTCTTTCAAACATAGACTCTAAATTATAGATGTAGACCATACAGCAATAAAAAGGAACAAGGCGTGCGAGACTATATAGGCTCCCACTAAAATTCGGAACGGAGACTACTTTTTCGAGACTGTTGAAAAAAAGCTTGGGGAAATAGTCACATGGAAAACACACCTGCAAAGTTTCGTTGAAGAATCTGTCCGTACGGTGACTCAGGGGAACCGGTTTTGAAAGTTGCTCTGTTATCATCAATAATGCAGTCACATGAGTGTTGAAAAAATTCCGCTGCTCCTTGTATCGTTTCAACACCAAATCGAACAAACGTTGACCCTGCAAGCTACTACAATCGTTGGAACGCTTCGCAAAATAAGAATCGCGAACCTCGAATGCTCTAAAACATTTGCATGCTTTACCCTCAAAAATGGGCTAATTATTACATGAACGGGTGGGCGGAAGCGTGTCTATGTAATCTTTTCATTTCTTTTCTTCACTGTTCCACACTCTCAGACTTAGCGCACTTGAATATCTACCTCTTTATTTGACGCGCACCTTTTATGTTTTCCTTTCCACTGGCACGGTTGCTAGGTGCAGCTGTTGGTCGCTCATTATTTCAACAAAATCGTCGCCTTTAGGCTGCGTTCATACTTGGCGGTAGCGTTCACCAGCAGTCACCAGCGTCCACTGGCGACCACAAGCGTTTCAAGCGCCCGCCTGCGCCTGCGACTAAGTATATTTCGAACTAGCGAACGCCTACGCAACGTCCGCCAGCGTCTTACAGGTATCGATCTAGAGATGCCAGCGTCCACTAGCGCCCAGATAGTATGTGGAGAAGTCTGGAGGAAGTAGACAGCTGGATTAGGCGTCGTTTGCGGCGTGTACAACCGCACCGTACATAAAAATTGCATAATTCTGTGCTTCGAAAGTTCTACGTTCGGCTGTACACGCCGCAATTTCACGAAGCCTAGTCCAGCGTCTGCTACTCTCCTAGTGCTACTCTACTCCCCTTGTTCCCCATACTCTCCACTTGTGGACGCTGGCAAACTCTGGTAGACGGTGGTCCAAATCCGCTAAAAAACTTGTATATAGGGGTAGTTTAACATCCTGATTACGAATATGACATTCACTCTTGCCGCTGGCGCTAATGGATGACACTACGATTATCTGCGCTCTGCTAAGGCTGAGCCCAAGAGGTAATCGTAGTGTCATCTGGCGCCAGCGCCAAGAATGAGTGTCATAATTGTAATCACGATGGTAAATAACCCTTGTGTACATGTTTTCAGCGGGTTTGGTGACTTAGGCAATTTAAAAATGAGCTCGGTGCCGAAATTGCTGGAGTCCAAACGGCATTAGCCAGCCAGTTCCCCGGACTTACTGGCAACTCGACACTACGGCCTCTGTGCAGTCCCTAGCTCAGAGACCATTTCTACATATCTTTCAATATCAAATGACATCTGACTTTAAAAAAAAGAATGAAAGGCAAAACCACTGGAACATAAAACAGCTTCTTAAAAGTGCGCACAAGCTTAGGGCCGCGGTAAGCAATGCATGACGAGCTTTTGCACCAATCGCTGCTGAATTGAAGCAGTGCCCAAACGTAATGTTTATTAAGTGACTGTTGGTAACTTATTCTTTTCAGAAAGATATCCAGGGAAAGCGAGCAACTAGTGAGCTCGCGAAAGAGTCGACAAGTTTAGATCCTCCCCGAAGAGCATATGGAATCGTCCTACGACGCTGCTTGCAACAGAATGCATACACGTAATTTACCGAGCAAGTCGTTGTCTTGCAGATAGAAAAGGACAAAGTGCAAAGAGACACGCTGTGGCTGCTTAATCTCGACATTTCCAGAAACGACGCGGAATGCTTGGCCTTGGTGGCAGAGGGCTCGCTGGCTGAAGGCGGGCGGTTGTGCCGGCATCACTGGTGAAGGGGTTGCAGTAGGGCGTTTGGCTACACCCACTTAGCCTGTCCACGAAGAACGTTGGCAATAACTGCCCACCCCAACTGTCGCGCCCACTGTTTAATTGAGTACTGAGGGCTGATGAAATCAACGAAAGGCCCGATTGCTCACCTCGCCTTCACACCAATTCTTGCTCGTTAGACAAACACAGGCACACAGAGAGCAGGCAAGATTTTTCCTAATTTTTTGGTGCATCAAAATGTGAATGTTCACTTTGGAACTGCGCATATTGCTTACTAAAACTGTTAAGGATTCCTTCCCACGCTCAAGCAGTACTTGTGCGTGAACTTGAAGGGTTGTTAAATAATTTACGCTCTCCGGATGTGACGGTTAGTCATTCTTGCCAGAATGATCCAAAAGATTTTGATAAATTCCAAAAGACAACTAGGCTCAAAAAGTGATGCTCTTGAACTTTTATTTCCAATCAAAATCACAAGCTTTATTGACACCTTCATCGGGGTATCAAGACAATTTGAGAAAGAGATCTGTCCAGTGGAAACAACTGGTTAAAGTTGCCTCACTGTGAACATTAACAAAGACTCAAACATCTTTGCTTTTATTTTGTTGGAGCGCGTTCATACTTCGCGACTAATCGCGCACTTCTTGCTGATCCAACGACTAACTACGATGTATAAACGCACTTTCAAGTACCAGTGTTCGATAGAAACAACTTACAAAAATTGTGTAAATCACTATTCTGTTCAACCAATCACAGCAGTTCGCTAGAGTGGGAATAGTATTGAGGACACTGGGACGCCACATCTGTCAGCAGTCATCAGTGAATAGCAAATAAATATAGACTAGTTTAGCTATAACAAACGGCATGAACAATCAAATAGGTCCCGTGGTGCCGGCGCTATGAAGATAACGATCCCATGAACTCTTCAGGTCGTCGATCATCAAGCTCCCACAAAACAAACTCGTTAAAACCAGTATTGGGAAATGACATCTCCGCCTCTCTTTATGAGACAGAACTGAATCCTGCTCTGCAGATGTTACTTTTTGCAAACTATTTCGAAATTTTTCCCGAAATTCGTTCACTGCATGCATAATAGTCGGTTTTTCTGTAAGAAACTAATATTGCGGCTCAAATGCCTCAGAAGTTTCATTCAATAAATTGAGAAAACGAACCCCATAAAGGGAGTGCAGCAACCATTCCATCTTGCGAAGCGTTTCCTTAGCAACAGTCACCGGTTTTGGAGTCAGTGGAACCACACTTGGGTCAACCGGATTTTTCCGTGGACGGCCTCGTTTCCTCTTGACCGGCTCAGGTGACGCAGGCAAGTGCGAATTAGATTCAGTATAAACGGGCAACTCTAGTTGAGGAGGTTCCGGTTGAACTATCTAAACAACGACACACTTGCGATCAATCATAATGGTAACATTTACATCGATGGAAGAAGAAACAACGTACTTTGATTTCATCTTGCAGGTTTTCAATTAGTGGTTTGCCTTTGTTCAGTTGCAAGCGTTTTTTCACCCAGTAAGAGAAGACATCAGCTACCAGTGATGGATCAAGTTCCAACCTGGAAACAAAAAATAGTGTGCATCATGAAAATACGAAGAAGAGTCAGAAGTCAAATTCTTGAATGTTCTCACTTCACAGCGATAGCAGCATGATCAACAAAGTCGTAAAAAGTTTGTTCGAGCTTTGCCAAAGGTCCGGAGTCGTAATTACCTGCTGTTTCTTCATCGGATGCAGCCTAAAATAGCAGTTAAAGCAAGTTCGCTGACATTAACAATCGTACTTCCATGGTGTGTGAAACAAGTACTACAAAATAACACACTCGAAAGGATCTGAGAAAAGTGCGAATGAAAAGTGCTTCAATCATTAATTGTGTTTTATCAGATCAATACTGTGACAACAACAACAACGAACTATCGCCGTAACACAGGAAAAGGTGGAAAAGTGCAACACGAATGGAAATAATAAACAACTAACCTGACTAGATTCACAAACGGCTTCGTCCTTCGCGAAAGGTTTTGCAGAGCGGTGCCGCGGACAAAGTGATATCATGTGAACTCTGTCGTCGACCGGATCCTGGAATAAAAGGAGGGGTGCGGTTACGATTCCAGCTGTAACAACTGTAAGTCAGGCTACATATATACTTTGCGGCAGCGTTCACCAGCGACACTAGGACTAGAAAGTATAGGTAGTCTACTGTCCTCCTACATACCCATACTCTCCACTCCTGGATGCTGGTGGACGCAGGCGTTTGCTGGATCGACATCTATACTCTGTCGCTGGCGCTTGAAACGTTGGCAGTGGGTGGTGGACGCTATTGCAAAATATGAACGCAGTCTTATTAACGATACGAAGCACAATTTTCCCCACCCTTTTAATAGTTCGAAAAGAAGTTTTGGAAACTGTGATAAAAAGTATTTTGGTACAGCGAGTCTAAATTTTCGCTGTTCTGCTCGACGCGATATTAAAACTGCTTCTCGGCCCGGAATAGTTGCGAAACTTACTGATTCAATACGCATCTCTAATCCACTGCGAAGAGCACATGTGGCGTGAAACGACGACATGCAAGAGCCTACAGAACACTTTATACAAGCACCTTGCCGTGTGTCGCATATGGAACACCTGGAACATGAGTATCGTATCAATGAGAGAAGTAATAGCAATAGAACGTTACTTGTGGCCTCGGACATCTGGTCCTTCTTTTATTTAGTGTTATGCGAGCTTGGAGGGCTATAATACACTAATACCAGAAGCTACAAATCGTTGAAGAATCCCCAGTTGAATTCCCGCGCTGTTTTTTGGATGGGGCATACGGTTAGGACTCCGCCAGAGATCGGCCTGGCGCCGCGACGGCGGTTCGCTATGTGCGCGGCGTTTGCATAGTCCCCTCCAACAGTCTGCTTTATTACTTGCAGGTGTGAAAATGAAAGGAGTGGGCCCGATGTTCAACTATTAGTATAAAACAATGTCCATTTACATAGAAATAATATTTAGAGAATACATCAGCAATCTACAAAAATTCACTTTAGGGTGAATCCTTCTTTTGCCTCAAATTGTAAGGTATTGTAAAGGCCTAAGGTTTGCGGCCAGACAGGAAAGTAGGTAGTATTAAAGAAATACAGCAATCCGTTGAATAAATACAGCTGCCATTCAAAAATATTGACGTCCCATTGAATATTCTGGTTTGGCAAAATGCCAAGCAGATTTGCGTGATGCCAGAACTATGTGAAGGGACCGGGATCTTAATCGCACGACTGTATGGGTCTTGTCCAATCACGGCAGCAATCGCCGCGCGGCGAGGCGAAACATGGCAGCCGTGACCTCTCGTGGAGTCCTAACCTACACCCTGTTGGAGGGGGTCGTGAGCAGTATGAACACCGCAGCGATGCCTTCATTGAGAGAGAGGGGACGACTGTAACTCCTTACACCTTACCAAGCGCGCGATCCGAGTGCCAAATCCCGATCGGCGTCCGCCCAAACCAACCAAACCTTCAACACTTCGAGGACGGTAAATTGGGCCACATCACATTATAGGCCACTACGATTCTGAATGGAAAAGGAACGCTCCTAAAAAGGATTGATCACTGACAGAGACTTTATCCTATTACGCCTTTGAACAAATTCGCTGGCACTGGCAGAGGAAATCGGCTTTGGAGTGGTTCGAAACTTTGCTATCAAAACCCCCTCCGAAAATTTTTCTCAAACTAGAAAGTTTTCAAGCAAATTGGAGGTTTCAACTATGAATGCTTCACATATGTTCTTTGCTAGCAGAAAGCACACGTGAAGAAATATACAGACGGTACAAAACAAAAAAATTCGCGGGATACTCCCTAAATTCCCTTCATGAACATTTTCTGAAAACGGGAGAATTGACCTGGTTTTAGTCATGCTTCTGATAACGAAGTATTGGTTCAAAAAGAGAGGTATTTTAGAAAGTATACAACGATTTCCAATATAATCTACCCTACCGCAATGCAGCCATCGCGACTGCAAGACCAACTGTTCTAAGAAGAGGAGTGAGATACCGACCGATACCCCTCCAAGAGGAGTCGTTGTGCCCCAGCCATTTTCATCACCGTTATGGTATGCACTATCAGTAGGTCCCCTGTGTGAAGGCCTAGCAAGAGCCGCACTCTACTCGTATGAAAAATTTCTCGCAGCCTGCACCCTCCGCCTGTCCCGAGCTGTCTTCGCTGCCGCTCTCGGAGGCTCTGCAAGCGAATGCACGTGCCGAATACGAGGTGCAGCTGACGTAGATGAGTCAACCTATGCCAGCCTGGAGAATTATAGGCGCCAATCACTGCATATATTTGCAAAAAAAACTGAAGTTGCATGCCAGACGCAATCAGATCTGAGAGGCATTTTCTTACAGTAGTTCTCTTTAGTCTCATCGCCGAAATTCAGCCACTACACGTACGTTTTACGAGTTCCTGACATAAAAGCAAAAAGAAAAATGGAAATAGTTGTGGTAGGAGGCGGAAAACGGAGTCAAAAAATTGGTAAAAAAAACTCACCAAAACACAGTCTACATTTCATACACAGCCACTCATCAGGGGGCAACTCTTGCAAACCATAACACGACATATGAACACACAAATTGCAGCCGTCACAAAATACCATTTCGTCATCAGGCTCGCTGTCTACCTGAAATATGCCTTGCTTAAGCTTCACGTCTGCACAGCACAAATACATCAGATCGTGGGAATCGTGGGAATATATACCGCTGAGCAAATGTCGCAAGCAGCCTCTTCATCACCATCCTCTATTCGAGAACTTGGAGAGTGAAGCGGTTCGAGAAGTTTTCGGTGTATATTCTAAGTTTCGAGAAGTTATTAGAAATAATGAAATGCACAAAGATAAAAGAAACACTCAAATCCAAACTATCCTATGGAGATTACCTTGTAGCATTCAATTTCAAACTCGTTCATGATCTCCAAAAAGGTTTCCATAGGCAGCAGACTACTGTTCGTCCGCGTTCGCTGCTGAATACGTACGCATGAGACAGCGAAAACGGAAAGATTGAGAAGCACAAGGTTCTAAAAAAACACACCTCGTTGAGTAGTTTCACCCATAACTCATCCAAGATGGTGCATTCATAGAGCCGAAGAGTTGTTGCTTGGATAGGCTCATAAGCGTTGGCATAGAATTCGCTAAGCAGTTCGCGTCTTTTTTGAAGTGTACTGAAATTGAAGCAATGAACGGTCAGTACCAGCAACAATGAAAGCAACGTATAAAACATATAGGTCACAATCCAGAAGAAATACTGACCGACTAATCCTGGACGTCATGCGCTTTACAACAGCTTTGCGAATTTCGGATGGATTTGGGTTGTTCGCGCGAAGAGGAATCTGGATTCCATTCGTCCATTCTGCGCGCCACCTTTAATATTGGTGAAAAAAAATTGAGAGCATTTCACGTATTTTCGAATAAAATTCGAAAGTTAAAATTTGAAGAATAGAAAAGAAAACCAAGTTCTTCCCCTGTGTCTGCTGCGCTGCCACTCATACTTGCCGCGCCTTTCGGCATGCAAAGTGTTCACTGTCTCAGAGACCGGTCTTCTGTGCGAAGACGACTTCAAAAAGTAGGAAAAAGACGTTTACCTACCTATCGGACATTCGAGCTAAACCGCTTCCAGGAATATCGTCATCGTCACTTTCATCATTAGTATTTATTCCTTTTCGAAGCCTATCAAAAAGGTCTGTGCGAAATACTTCTGCAAGCCGACCATCTAAAATTAAGACTAAAGTTAGCGTGGGAAGAGAGGAACTAAGAGAAATTCCACAGGAGATCCACATAAGCTCGAAAACGAACCACTTCTGATAATGTAGTAGTTCCGGCGGTTGTTACCGTCCAAAAAGGGATAGCGGTCATCAAGTATTGATTCAATACATCTGCAATCTAGTAATATTAATAAACACCATTTTGAGGCATCACATTGTTAGGTTCACGTGTACCGCTGTTTAATAACCCTGGTCAAGTACCTGAGTAGTAAATCACAGCAGTCACAAAATAACAGAAAATCAAGCAAGCAAACAATGAGCAACTGACTCTTCTTTTAAGAAGTGTTCATCTCCCTTCATCTCACGACATCTTTCAGACCCTCCAGGCTCTGTTTTCTTCACAGTTTCACGGCGAGAAGAACAGATATCGCGATCCTCATCACTGATTTCAAAATGGCTGTCACCAAAGCATCTGCTTGATGTGCTAGGGGTACCATCTAAAATGCGACAAATTCAATAATTAAGCGCAGAATTCCATCTAAATACGAATAAACAAGTACAAATACGGTACAACACTGCTGTGAGAAACCCATCAAGGAGTCTATTCAGACCTTAGCGGAGAGGATCTTTTTGTCCCCAGTTAAACCTCGATTTCCCAGCTTCTCTCTTCTTGCAACCTCGGCATAGTAAGTTCTTATTTAAACCGGAACGAGCGTCTCATAACCAGTGAACTCTCGCCGTTCATACCGCACTGAGGGCTTCAGTACATCTGGGAGTGTTACATGCATCTCCCACACTGCTAATATCAGGAAACAGAAAATGCACTACTCGCCTATTACTAACGCTCCAGTAGCGAGCTTTTCTGCTGAAAAAGGTGGAATCCTGCCTGTATGTTCTCTGAATTGTCTGGACTTCTCTTCGAGGTCCCGACAGAACGCCGGAAGCGCTAGAGGAGGGAGGCGCTTGATGGAATAGATCATAAACCACTCCACAGCTCCCAACCACTTGTAGGGGTTCGAAGACGACGACCAAGTCGAAACGTTGGCCCGTTTAATAAAGTTCCACCTACCAACCTCATAACGCACATAAGAACTACCACAAATAACAACATTCCCGACCATACTTGCTTCTTCTCACACGCCCTGTAGCAAAATTATTGTTTTTGGTAGTTGGTCAGAGGAGTCTACTCCGCTGCCCCTCCCCTCGAAGGCGAATTAGAGAAAACTGAGCAAGATGGTAGGTAAACTTCAAATCCAGACAAGATAGGTGTGCTCCACTTCATCTGAACCTGATGTGGGATGGATGATTGGTGGGATATTTCAAGCTGATAAAACTTCATCTTGTATTGGACAAATGACTACAATCCCAAAATTAAGATCTTTTTCTTCATTGTTAGTTTTTTTTTCTTGCATACGGTTGCCTGGACAATGCCCCTTTTCTCGAATCGATGCGTCAGCTATCGCCTGCAGCGACCAACATCGCCTTTAAAACATTATTGACCCACAACATAGCGCTACCAGGCGAGTGTCACGTACCTTTGCTATCCATCCGATGAAAAGAGTGTGCACGTCTCGGAGAATGGTCATCCTCTTCTTCACAGCTCTCCATTCCTTGACAGAGAGATTGCAATAATTCTACAATAGCAACACTACAAAAGTTGCATTCTAACAAATATAACTAATCGCAGGAATCCCGCTCACTTCTGCTTTCGATTTTCATTTTTGGTGACTTCTTCGTACCAATCACAGTAGCCGGAATTGTTTCGAAAACACGTTGAATGTTTCGGAACCTCGCTTTTGGTAACAGTGTTTCAAATGGTGGTGCCGCTGGTGTCATTACGAAACTAACATATGGTTATCTGAACTCATGACTCGTCAGGAAGGACATGCGCTATCAGTAGCATAAGAAGCATCAATGACCGTTTCAGAGAATGATGGATTACAGAAATAGACATCACATGGACAAAGAGGTGGAATGTAAACGATTCCTTGATGGTACGGTGCTGAACATCAGAAGCCCCCATTCCAGAGATTTAGGGAAAAAAAAACGAAAATATATGCCAAGTGGCAACCCAGAATTTCTCCACGCAAATTTGACCTACTGTCAAGAGTAGCATGCCAATTGATGTGAATGCTCCATCCCTTTTATCTACAGCTTCAAGCCTTACTGAGTCGAGGGAACCCCCCTCCACGACCACCCACGAACCCAGCGCCATCGGCGAAATGACGCGACTTGACCAATTCGAACGAGACATTTGCGCGCCGTTAAGTTTAAAGGACACGGTTGGAATGGATTGAGTGCACATCTAACGACCGCGTGCCACGCAACCGCGTCGCGTTATCGATTGTTCCAGTTGCGTCTCCTGTTCTGCTCGTGTACGGTCGTACCTTTCAGTCCTATTCCCTTTCTCAAAAACTTCTTGCATCTTGATTCAGTTGAAGTGGGTTGGTTTTTTGGTGGGGTTTCTACATTGAGATAGTGGATGTCGAGTAATGCCTACCAACCGCAGTCGATGTGGTCTGTCCTCCCACGCATCGAGACGCTGCAGGGTTGGCTCCTATTTCCCTTACAGCCATTGTTGTTGGCGCGAGTGCACAGTTAAAACGGTGGTCGTGTTTTGCGCGTTCGCCTTGCACCCCGCGTTGTAACGATCCGCTGGTCTATGACCTTAGGCTTCACCAGGACTGCAGTTTAAAAGCAGTTACCTTCCACGTAAGTGTAGAATGTGTTACGTCTTCACGAAGGACCTGCAGTTTGAAAGCAAATACATTCCACGTAATGATAGAATAGTGTTGCCTGGGTGTGATTACTAGTACTTCTTCGAATATGATTCTGGAAGGTATAGAGGTGTTACATTGGGTGCTGTATAGTGTTCAGTTAGCTAAGTGGTGATGTAAAGTTAAACCAAAGGAGTGCCTGGCTGCCATTCTGTTGGTTTACTTAAGGGTCAGACCTGGAGGTTTTGTTTGTATTCTGATCTGCTTATATGATATCCAGCTGGGAGGTGGCGAATATTTACAGGCTGCATTCATAACTTCAGTTACGTCGCTGCCATCGACGTAACCCCGTTCTCGACGACTATCCTGCGAATATGATGTACGATGATGACCAAGGCAACATGCGTAGTCAAGGTAACCGGCGTGGTCGACGTTATCGGCGGCTGCGCTCTAAGGTTAGATAAGTGTCGACCCGAGGCCAGTTACGTCGGGTCGGTGTGGATCTTATCAGAACCGCCGAAAACGCCGATCACGGCGACGAAACGTATTATATGGATGCAGCCTCAATGTTTTCTAGTCCACGTGGATTTCCCTTTGGTTCTTGAGAAGTACCTCTGCCGGGTAGCGCAGATGCTCAATGTCTGCGCTCTACTAACACTGGGTCATGAGTAAGGGAAAGAATGCAGACGCGGCGTCTCCTACCAATTAAGTTAGCGCTAGAGAAGGTTGTGTGATAGGGGGAACGATAGAAAAGAGCATGAAAACAATTCGTGGTCTTTGACCTTGTGTTGCGTTGGCTCGTCTTTATATCTTGCGCCATCAGAGCATTTATACCTGTTTCCCCATTTGAATAAGTCGGCCAGATCGATTCGCATCTGATCCTCGTGGATTTTCCGCTCTGTGACGGCGCAAGGTATGAATGCAACTTTCGAGTTTGCTGCTTATCGTGTTGATGGTATTCTACACCATTTGTAGAAACTGCAATCCAAACTATTACAGGTATGAGCGAGGAGCACTGTGACCCTAAGAAAGAGGTTACCGGCTCAGAGTCGAAATCAGGCGCTAACGGCGATCGTTCAGAAAGTCCGGGCGCTGGCGGCAATGAAAACGGTTCCGGTCGCGATCGTGAGGACGTTTGCCGCGATTTCCTTAAGAACATTTGCAATCGCGGCTCACGCTGCAAATTCTTCCATCCCACCGACAGCAAGCAGCGCACTGAAGATATGATCAATTTCTGCATCGACTTCCAGGTGCGTATGCGTTTAACGAAGCTATTAGGAACTTTTTGGTATAGTCTGCTGACCGTAGACCTGGAAGCCTAGCATAAGAGCTTAGGGTCACAGTAAATAGTGATGCGGTGAGCAGTCGCATTAATTTACGGGTTACTTTAAGTATTGATTGTTTATTACGAGACCTTTGATATCCTATCTGAATGAGGCTTTTTAGAATCGCGGCTGCATGCGCGACAACTGCCGCTTTGTGCATGCGTCGCGCGAAGAAGTGGAACGGTACAAGCACACGCGCGAAGTGACGCTACCACTTGCGCGAGCCATCGCAGCTGTTACTCAAGGCGACACCATCGCGGGAATTCCAGTCTGCAAGGAGTTTCAATCAGGAAAATGTGCTCGCGGCGCGCAGCGCTGTCGCTACTGGCACGTGAATGTAGAAGAGGAGCGCGAACGACGACTGCGTGGGCTCCCTCCATCAGGTGGGCCTCTTGGAAGATACGGCGGGGCACCTGGTGGACGTTACGGTGGATCAGGTGGTCCAATGTATGGTGTACCACCACTAGGTATGCGACGATCAGGCCCTCCTCTTGATGGACCGTACGAGAAGAGATCCCGCATGGAGGAAGGCCGTGTAACTGAGCTAGAGCGTAAGAACGCAGAGCTTTCGAAGGAAGTGGAAACATTGAAACGAGAACTGCAGCGTGAGCACGAACGTTACGAGGACCTGTATGCGCTTTTCCGTCAGCAAAGTGGCGGTGCAGCTGCCGCTCCCTCGAAATCCGCTGCGCAACCCGGCTATGGCGGAGTAGGCGGCGGCGGCTATGGAAATTGGAACGCTGGCGGTGGCTGGCAGTAATTTTTTCCGCTGTGCAAGCAGTTCTCATTCCCGTATGATCTTTTCTCGCAAGCGTGTTGTTGTTAAATGTCATTGTTATTAAAAAGCTCACCGCGTATGTAAGTGATCCATTGCGTCCAACTATGTTTGCGGCGTGGGCGGCGGTTTTGCGCTTGTTGTATTTTAATCATTCGTCCGTTCTTGCTGAAGGCACACCTTATTATTATAACAATAAATTGTTTTCATTGCTCCGCGCAAGCGTCTTTTTCATAGTTGTAGGAATCAGTTGTAGATATGCAGCAAATTATTATAACCTACAAGTGTATTATGTTAAAGCGTTGTTGCGTGCTGCATAAACATGGTATTTCATTATCGTTGTTGTCTGATAGCGTAGAAGTGTCATCCCGGTTAAGAGTGGCGCAACGTAGTGTTTTCGCTGCGGAGCTCGATAGGCGTGCAGTAATTGTGTAAAGCGAACGATAACATTCCCCTTTTGGTGCAGCGTTTATGGCTCTTACTTTCGTATCGGCGTGCAGAAGGCGAGACTGTCTAAGAAGCTGTACTGCCGTACAGTGTTGGGGAAACAGGATAACAAAAACCATTGTGAACTGGGTGTTGTGGAATATTTTTGCGTATTCAGGAATACAGCTGTGCAGAAATCAAAGCATGGATGAAGTGTGTTCAGGCGACATAGGTCGGAGATCTGCAAGGAACCTTGAATTCGGAGCTCTGCAGGGAAGCGTTGAAATTGCTTGATTCCAGGTTATTAGAGCCTGAAGTCTCCAAAGGGCGTAACCGTGTGCTGCAGCCAAAGATTTAGAGAAAGAGTGCCACAGTTTTGTTTTAAAGGAGTAATTGTGTGTTCTTGGTGATGATCGGTGAAATCTTCGGGGATCGCCTTTCTTTCCAGTTAGGGCATGTTTTGAGTGGCGGTTATGCTCGCGGAGGGACGCCTGTCCTGAGAAACCAGCACTGGCACAGGGATACAGCTATCCTCTCTTTGAGAATTCCGGCGATCGGGTATTACTGGTTGTGTGTGTTGACGTATGTCCGGATAGCCGTTAAGTGACGGCAAATCCCTTTCTCACCTCACAGCCGATTTGTGCGAGTTCATCGGTAGTACTATACTAGCATAGCGACACCTGCGGCTTCTGTGCAACTCTTGGCTGCTAAGTCGTTCCTTCGCATCCTCTGCCTAAGGGTAGTGGAAAAAAAAGCCAGTGCGTGAACTAGCTTGCGAAATCTGATCATGAAATGAGGCCCATGTTAGGCTGCCTTCATATCGTGCGACGTCGTCGTCGACGTCGACGAAAGCTGCGTAACTTGCCTGACTGCCTGGTGAAAATTATACGTATCGATCCAACGAAAGCTGCCTAACCGACGATTAGACACGATCGATATCGAGTCGACGACGCAACTTATGCAACTTACGCAGCTTTCGTCGAATCGATAGGTATCTAATCTTCGTGAAGTGAAGTGGTCGTCGGTTACGCAACGAACAACGCAACTAGTCGCAGAAGACGCAGGTTACGTCGACGTTGAGCACGACATCGCACGGTATGAACGCCTTAAGCAACGCACAGCTTTCGCATCAAATCGATTGCATTGCTGCTGGATTTGCGCAGCCCTCCAACACATCTTGCCTTGTGGACTGTTGCGGATTTTTGGTTTTCAAAAGAGGTGAGTTTCTATTCGGCCAAAGACGCTGGAGGCAACAGAACGTTGCGCGTCGTTGGACGTGCAAGTCGGATGTCTTGCGGATAGATGCTATCAAAAGCCAAAAGGGTGACGCACACGCTCCCGCGCTATTTCTTCTTTTGAGTGACAAAAATGGTGTACTAAATGGGCTTTGCCTCGATGGCAAAGGAAAGGAGGTACAGTAGAATAAAAGAAAACTTGGAACAAGCTAAAGACATTTTCATCTCTTCTGAGCTATCTAATTTCTTCTTTTACACCAGCATTAGGCTGCGTTCGTACCGTGCGACAGCGTCGTCAACGTCGACGTAACCGACGAAAGCGACGTAACCGACGTTTTCGACGACTAGTTCGCGAAGATTATATACGTATCGATCCGACGTAAGCGGACGAAACCGACGAAACGCTGCGTAGACGAAATCTGCGTAACCTAAGTTTTCGACTACCAGAGATTAAATACGTATCGATCCACTCGTCGACGTAATCGACGTAACCGACGACAGAAGATTAGATACGTATCGACTGACGTCGATAACCGGTTTCA